TAAAACTGCACAAGTACTGAAAATAAAACTACATTACTGTAACGTGGCTCTTCAGCGTTAGGAAGGCAATTAGGCTTTATCGCTCCCCAACTGCCACCAGGCAGTGCTGGGGTGAACGGTGACCTGCTCCTGGGGTGAAATAGCCAAGGCAGAGCCATGTGCAGCAGGACCAGAGCCACAAAACTGCTCCGGGAGCAGGCGTAAGAAGGAGAAGGGATACAGAGTGGGGAGAGAAAACAGGGGAGCAGCTGGCAGCTTCCCTCCTGCCCTACCTTCTCCACCTTCAGCGCACCGAACAGCCACACCATCCCTCGGTCAAACAGCGGGACAGAAACCTGGAGACCCATCAGACACAGCACAGCATGTGCCGCATCCACAAGTTTTTCCTCACCTTTCTATTAGGCCAAGCCAATCTAAAAGACTTTCCCTAGGAAGGGCCCCCAACCCCACTGCTGTAACCCCCCAGGGAAGTCAGCCCTGCTGTTGGGCAGGGCTCTCCAGCACCCCAGGAGGGTGACACAAGGCAAGGAGCTTTCGCTCCAGGGAGGAAGATAGGCCCAACGTACTGCACCTCCTCTGCCTCCCTCTGGGCTTGCATCTACCACAGCTGCAGCTTTTGGAGCGAACAGGGGGAAGGGAGATGAACTGACCCACTTCTTATCCCTTTAATTGGACTAGATGACCTCTAGGGGTCCCTTCCAACCCAAACCATTCTACGATTCTATGACTTATCATCAACACTGCCTCTGCCACAGACGCTGTCCTTCCTCTGCTGTGAAGTCCTAAGTCCCTCGGGGAAGCTGAGGTGCAGAAGCACACTTTGATAAGAAAATGCTACAGCTTCCAGCAAAGCTTTTTTCCTCCTTTCTCAAGCCATTTTTATTACAATTATCACGTCTGCAAAGCTGACCGTTTCAGCATCTCTTTCCCCCCACCAGCTGGTTTTCAGACACCTCTTCACTCCTCCTTCTACGCAAGCCATGTCTCCAGCAGTGGCAGTACGCAAGGGCACACCAGGCGTGGTGCGCTGCACCTCATTCGTAAGGACTTCCTTGTGAAATCAGGTTAATCAGGACTTTTTTGGGGAATCATTACAACCCCAATGGTAATGACTGTCTTAATAGGGAGAGCAAATCTCAGGCTGCCAGCAAGTAACGAAGTGCCATCCATAAGGACGGGTGGGACACACGGAAGAGGGACTGTATTCACTGCCTACAGCCGGAGGTCCGGGTGTCATCACAGGACCACCCAGCAGGACGAAAAGCCTCCTCCCAAACCTCCTCTGCATTCAGCGCTGCTGGAGGAGACCACGCTGAGCCCCTTCCCCATCGCTGGACTTCACTCCTATCACTCTTCACTCTGCTGGCAGGTTTGCTACGAGCCTTGGGAAGCAGGCAGCAATGCAGCCGGTTCAGCTGCAAAATCAAGACCTACCTGAAAAATCCAAGGCACCCATATGTTAGGACAGCCAGCTTTTCCATGCGGGCGTGGAGCGGCAGGCCCTATGCTCTCTCTGACACATGCGTGTGGTTCCCACCGAAGCTGAGCAGGGCTGCAGATGAGCGTCTGTGAACTTCCCGAAGCCGCTCACTTTGGTTTTCCTCACTGCTACAGAAACTCCACAGCACAACTTCCTTCCAGACACATTTATCAAGCGCCACCATCCAAGGCGCGAGATCCGTGTGTCACGCACGTGCAGCAGATGACTTTACAAGTACCCTTGATGTGGGGTGCAACAGAAGAGGAACAACAGAAGGCAGTGGGGACAGAAATCCCAGGATGGATTTTCCTGAGACTACAACACGACTGCAACGAAGACAGAAATTCTTCCTCGCTCCATGCCTTCCAAACAAGTGGGAGGTTAAATCCCAAACGCGTGTTCAGAGGCAAAACGCTGCTCGGCACAGAGGCGCCTCTGTCACCCGTCACCCCTGAGCCCCCTACTGCTGCATCCCTATCGCCTTGAAATCTCACTCTGCAAATGAGGTTCCAACGCATGAAGCAGGATTGCATTTGGGGGGGCAAATCTCACCCACGTACCCCCAACGGAGTTCGAAGGGAGCATTCGGCCCCACATGGGTTCAGCGCTCTCCCCCCCGGAGCTAGGGTGGACTGAAAATCCCCTTTACCTCCCAGTTACTCACTACGCAGGCGATAGCTGGAACGGACTGGGCAGGCCTGGCCCCTCGTACACACATCCTTCCTTGCTTAAAAAAACAAACCAAAACCAAGCAACGCTTTGTGCCACGAAACGACAATCAGCTACAAAAAAACGTGCTTGGAAAAACAGAGTCTCACTTCCTGAACACCATCCCAGGCCTATAAAAGCAAAAAGAGACGGGTTTCTCTTAGAAAAGAAACAACAAAAATACTGTAAAAAGGCTGGCTGTTGGGAAGCGCTGGGCACCACTCAGCGTTCGAGCGCACTGGGGAACACTCGTTCCTGCACTCCCGTGTTACCTTTGCTGCTCATCGTTTCCTCGTTTCGATTCTGCTCTCATTTTCTCTTGCTCACAGACAAGAACTTGTCTTTTCATTTATTCACATGTTTTGGTAGCTTGGCTGTATCTGTTCCGTTAATGTCATTTAATAATTTTTTTTTCTTCTAGCTTCTACAATGGAATTACCTGGCACCTAAGCCCAGAAATTGCTGCTTCCAGCTGTTGAAGAAATCTGAACAACTGCGTGTCTGACTGCACAAAACCCCTTCAAAGTGCACCCTCGCCCTGCTAGAAAATTAAGAGCCCATGGCACGGCAATAGGAGACCTCCGGAGATACCTGCCGGGAAAAGAGAAGGTCCCGCCACGCTCAAGCAAGTCGGCAAAGGACCACTGGTGGCCCAGCGCAGGCCGGCACTGCCGGGGCATCCCTCCGGCTGGATGGCCGACACAAAGCTGCGCAGCAGGAGGATGTGCAATGTAAGGACCAAACCCGCTCACTGCTCCTTCAGACTGGCATTGCTAATCCAAACCGGAGACTGCACAGAGCTTAATGTCTTCTTGTTCGTGCTGCTTGCCTTCACTGGTGTGACCCTTTCCAATGAACCACAGAATATTCTTTTCTGTAAACTTTTCCTCCCTGGTTGCAGGTGAGCAGAAACCTATTCATGACATTCTGCTCTGGGGTGGAGCACCCAGAGAGGATGGAAATTTCTCTTTAAACTTTCTATTGGTTTCATTGCAAAATGGTAATAAATTCCATAAAATATTTTCAACATGGGAGTTTTTAACACATAATAAAACTTAAACTAGTCACTTAATCTTGCTTTAGATCAGCCTCATTTCTTAGCTCCCATGAATTAATTCACCTCCAGCCTAGAAAGTTATTCACAGGGTGGTTATTTAAATAAATTGTGCAGATCAGGAAAAAAATTAATGCCCAAAGCTTAGTATGGAATCATGGAATCATAGAATCACTGTGGTTGGAAAAGCCCTTTGAGACACTCGAGCCCACCCGTTAACCTACCCCTGCCATCCCACCACTAAACCCTGTCCCTCAGCACCTCATTGATCCTTCTTTTAAATACCTCCAGGGATGAGGACTCGACCACCTCCCTGGGGCAGCCCCTTCCAGAGCCTGACAACCCTTTCGGTGAAGAACTTTTTCCTAATGTCTAGCCTAAACCTGCCCTGGCGCAGTACTCACCAAACTTGTATTTTCTGATCCTACTGTCTGAGAGATGGGAGCCAAAATACAGACAGGGCTCTTACTTTAACTCTTTGTAATCCCCAGGCCAGAAGGCAGGCTTTGGTTAGGTTTTACTAAAAGACAGCGTTCCGTTTGCTCAGGGCAGGTCACATCTGGAGTCCTTGGTAGCCCTCCTGGGCAGGTCTGTGCTGCCCGCATGGGGCTGGGCTGGCCTAGTCCTGTCGCTGGACACCACTGCAAACAGACTGCTTCCGTCCTCTTGACTTCCGCCCTTAAGATATTTGTATGCGTTGATGAGATCCCCTCTCAGTCTTCTCTTCTTCAGGCTGAACAAGCCCAACTCTCTCAGCCTTTCCTCGTAGGGGAGATGCTCCAGTCCCTTTATCATCCTAGTAGCTCTCCTCTGGACTCTTTCTAGGAGTTCCTCGTCTTTCTTGAACTGGGGAGCCCAGAACTGGACACAGCCGTACTCGAGCACTGGAGCGCTCCCATGGGGAAGCAGCCCGAGCACACGGAGCCCCCACAAGCAAGCTCAGTCACCGCGGACTGGCTGGGCGTGCACAGCGGATGCTGTCCCGAGCTCCGCACGTCCCACCCGCCGAGTGGGTGCTTCTGGGCACCCACCAACCAGCAGCATGGGAGGAAAGCACACGTTTGGGAAAGCGCGTGGGTATAGCCTTCACATTGCCCACAGGAAGAGGGACCAGCTTGAGACTGCATAAATGTCATTTTTCCTCCAGCAATGGAAGATCCCAGAGGGCCAAGGAAATCCCCCCCACTTCCCCACTGAAGCCATGTTGCACCTCAGCTCCTTTTGACCCTGACCGCACACTGTAATGAAGCACGGGCTGCGTGGCAGACAGCTAGCCCAAGTAACCCGCCGTCAGGTTTGAGCCTCAGCTTCTTTGCTGCAATGGCACCTCGAAGGTCTCCTCAATGCTGGTCCTCAGCCCCACCATAGGGCAACCAGCCGATGTGACAACTGCCAGGCTGAAAGCATGCCAGAAAGCCAAGTTTGTAAAACCGGAGGGCAGAAGGGGCAGGAAAAGGCACCCACAGACAGGTCACAAAGGATGGCACAGGGCTACAAAGTGGACGTAGCTCAGGGTTTTGTCCGCGTTCCTGCAGGAAGAGCAATATGCCACAGGACAGCAAGAACCTGCTTGAGGGACTGGATCAGAAGAGCATGTCCCATCCACAGCAAGAACCTCATTTCAAGCAGAACTGGTCTAATTTTGCCATCTTAATTAGGTCAACATACAGCACGCGGCAGCATTGCCCCGCTCCCTCCAGCATCACAGACCCATGCTTGTTACCCTGCCCAGCATCCAAGTCGCAGAGAGGAAGACAACACACCCAGACTGCCACTTGCAAACAGAAACAGAGCCCAACCAAAAAAAGCACATCCGCAGGGGAGCTCCCAGCACCCCTCCCAGAAATCAGTGGCTAAGCGCCCAGCTGCTTCCTTACCACAGGTACATGTTGGGTCAAAGCAGCAGCTCTACCAGCAGCCACAGCCCCGTGACACAGCGAAACGGTCCCTTCCTGAGCATCCCACTTTAGCGGTCGGCTGCCTTTCGATGACTCTTTTCACTACTAGACAAATATTTACCTCAAAGAACTTCAAGAACACACAGAAAAAGGAAGAATGCCCTCATTTGAACAATATATTCCACTCGGAGCTCTGCCAAACAACTCAAACTACCCAGAAGAATTTGCAAGCTAACAGCCAGATGCCTCAACCACGACCTTAAAAGAGCATTTGACTCACGGCTTGTTTGAGTCTGTTTTGGCCTTTGACAGACTGATCCCCAAGTCAGCGCGGCTTCTTGGAAGGCAAATGCCCACTCTTGCTGTAAGAGCTCGACGCAAAAGCGTGAGGAAAGCACCGAAGTGCCTCAAGACTAAACAGAGGCTGGAAGTAGCCCTTTCCAAGCTCAACCTTTTACATTCTGCAGCCTGAAGAGATCACTCATCCCCAAAGGAACTGTGCCTTTGAGTTCCAACCTTTTTACCTGGGTCTCCACAGGAGCCACTGAACCAGACCTACCTGCACGTTCTCTTCCGTGACCTCGATCTCAGCAGTGTAGATGTAATCAATCAGCTTCCTCAGGGTCTGCCCATCAACGTCTTTTATCTCAATCTTCTTGGCTTTGCTTTCAGACATATCTCCTGCAATGAATTTTGAAAGGACAGTTAGTTTGCGTCGCAGGACCTCACTGCAGCCCTTGCTCCCCTTGCAGCCAGCACATCCTCCTGGTATGGGACTGAAAGACTGCCCTGGCACTATCCCCGACCATCGAAGGACAGCCAGCGGGATTCCCAGAAGCCTCCTAATGACAGCTAAAAACCATCTCAACATTTGAAGACTGGTGTAATACAAAAGAAGACAATAAATGCAACAAGCTCAATTTCTTGCCAGAAAAGAACCTGCCATGGTTCACCTGCATTCAAACACATATAGGGGCTAAAAAAACCCCAGGATGACCCTTTTTAAAATTTATATATCTATATATTTATGGGTAGATGAGTAAGTTGCAGCAGCTACGCTAGGGTGCTCTGTGGCATACGCTACCATAAAAGCAAGGCAGCGTTGCCCTTTTTCATTAGAAAGGACCCGAGCCCTGCTGAGAACAAGCACGCGGGCCAGCAGTTACAGCCCGGGCGCTGCAAGCCCCTCATCCAAACCGCCCTGCTGTTCCCTGTCCACATGGTTACACCTCGCACAAAGCACCTGGGCACAACGCTGTATTTCTCACCTCCCACCTTCCCAACCTCACCCCTCGGAGGCAAGGCAGCCTTTGGAGCCAAACCGTGTCCTTTTCCAAATATATAACTTAGAAAAAACAAAACCAAAACCAAACAAAACCCAAACATGCAGAACTGGAGCAATAATTTCCACTATGGGTACACAAGTGAGCCCCGTATCTGCGGAAGACCCTGTACACGAACCGGTGCTTCACGTGCACCATCCCCATCGCTGCCGTGGCCGTGGCTGTGCAGGCAGCGCGCACGCACCCCGCGCGCAGCAGGAGCATGTTGGAAGAACAAAACCATGCTGTGGGGAGCAGAAAGGACTCCCCGGGGCCCCTCCAGCGCCCACGTGCATGGTGACCAGGTTCTAATCACCAAGACCTTGAGGAACCACAGCGAAGAAAGAAGAAACTCCTAAGCGGAAAGAAAACGGTAAGTGAAAACACAAAGCTAAACAAAGGAGAGCATGAAGAAATGTCAATTCTTAAACCCGGGTATGAATAATCACTACTCTAAGAAATCCGGTGACTCAGTACGGCTGTAGGATTAAGAGGGAAAATAGTTCCTGCAGCCTATGGGAGAAGTAATTACAGCCTACCTCTCCGTGCAGCGTGTGGAAAGACGTGGCCGGGCACATTAAGTGTCAGATGCTAAAGGGGGTCCAAGCTTGAGCAAAATCTGGATCCTGGAAATTGAACTTTGAGGGCTTCACTTATGCCAATAAGAAGGTAAATAACAGGAGTGGGGTCAGACCGTATTAGAAGAGCCAACAACGTCCCAAGGGAAACAGAGACTGAAATAATATTTGCCCCAAATTCAATTTTTAAAATTAAATAATGCAATGTTATTCAGAGAAGCCCATGAATACAAATGTGCGAGTACAAAGGGATAAACGACCTACATTTGGGAGGCCTTCAAAGCAGGTAGAGCTTTTTAATTGACAAAATAAATGTCATCATCTTCGCACACTTCCTCCTCCCCCCCAAAAAACCATCTCCAGAGATGAGAGGAGGCTTCCGAGAACAGGCCAGTCCCCGTCCGCCTACACGGAGCTGGAGGCGCCTGTAGGAGCGCCCAGCCGAACCCCACCTCAGAGTGAGGGGCAAGGGGAGCAGCCAGAGCCCCCC